TTTTGCAGTTCTTTATCCTCACATGTGAAGTGTCGCCCCCTCAATGATTACCGGGCTTTGAATAAAATAACCATTCGAGACTGTTACCCCCTGCCGTTGGTCGGCGAACTCCTGGATCGCCTTAAGGGGGCACGTATTTATACCAAGTTGGACCTCCAGGGTGCCTATAATTTGGTGTGAATCCATGCTGGCGATGAATGGAAGATGGCTTTTGGAACTCATTATGGCCAGCATGAATACCTGGTCATGCCTTTTAGTCTAACCAACGCTCCGGCTGTGTTCCAGCAATTCATGAACGTCATCTTTCGGGACCTGCTTGATCGCTTTGTGATCATCTATCTGGATGACATTTTGATTTACTCCCTAGACCCCGCTCAGCACATGGAACACGTTCATCAGGTCTTACAATGATTATGAGACCACCAACTCTATGCCAAGCTGGAGAAGCGTGACTTCAACTTGCAGGAAGTCTAGTTTCTAGGTCACATTCTATCTCCCCAAGTGATCCAGATGGACCCAAAGAAAATAGAATCAGTTCTGACCTGGCAGAAGCCCCGGAATCATAAGAATGTACAGCAGCTTCTCGGCTTCGCAAACTAGTACCAGTCGGTTCTGACCTGGCAGAAGCCCTGGAATCATAAGAATGTACAGCGGTTTCTCGGCTTCGCGAACTAGTACCGCCAGTTCATACCAGCCTATGCAGACATAACCACGCTGCTGACCCGCCTCCTCCAGCCCAAAGAGCCATTCCTTTGGACTCCGGAGGCAGATCATGCTTTCAACACACTAAAAACCCGCTTCACCACCAAGCCAATTCTGCGCTATCCGGATCCCAACTACCATTTACTGTGGAGACGGATGCCTCCACTGTTGCTCTAGGTGCAGTACTGTCCCAGTGGAAGGATCCCTCACAGCCTCCGCAGCCCTGCGCTTTCTACTCCCGGCAGTTCACACCCTCAGAACGCAAGTACACCATCTGGAAGTGGGAACTCTTGGCCATCAAAACCACTTTTGAGGTCTGGAAGCATTACCTTGAAGGGGACTGTCACCCTGTCCAAGTTTTGACGGACCACCGGAATCTGGAACACTTGCACAGAGCATGGCATCTTAATCAACGCCAGATCTGGTGGTGTCTCTTCTTCTCCAGGTTTGACTTCTGCATCACTTACATGCCACATACTCAGAATCGGAAACCGGATGCTTTGTCCCACAAACTGGAATACACTGTTCCAACCTGTGAAGAGTCTCCGTCTACACATATCCTATCCCCTTCAGTTTTTGCAGCCACTACAGCTTGCTCGTCCCTGGCTGAAGAAATATGAGCCAACCAAGCTCAAGATTCCTGGGCCAAGCAACACTGGCAAGAACTGCCGGAGACTTTACTAACCACCAGGGTCTCCGATTACACTGTGGACGCTGCCGGAGACTTTACTAACCACCAGGGTCTATTACACCATGGACGCCTGTACGTTCTTCCAGGGCCCCTCTGAACTGATATGCTCTATCTGACCCATGATTCCCCTCCTGCAGGACACTTTGGTCAGTACAAAACTCTGCACCTACTCACATGGGAATTCTGGTGGCCCCAGATTCGAGCTGATGTCGCTCGTTATGCTCACATGGGAATTTTGGTGGCCCCAGGTTTGAGCTGACATCGCCCGTTACATGGATTCCTGCGAGGTTTAGTATGAGCCAAGGACGTACCCGCTAAACCTCCAGGGCTGCTGCAACCATTACCCGTACCAGCCGGCCCTTGGGACACAGTATCCCTAGACTTCATCACGGATCTCCCACGATCATAAGGGTATACCTGTGTTCTAGTAATAGTGGACCTGTTCACCAAGATGGCTCATTCTGTCCTGTGTTCCAAGCCTCCCACAGCTCCTGAAACAGCACAGCTCTATCTTCACTGTGTTTTCCGTCTACACGGGCTCCCGACACACTTAATTTCCGATCATGATTCCCAATTCACCTCCCGGTTCTAGCAAGCCTTACACACCAGTTTGGGTACCTAAGTGCACTTGTCGTCAGCGTATCATCCCCAAACAGATGGACAGACTGAGCGTACTAATGCCACTCTTGAGCAATATCTCTGTTGCTATACCTGCTATCAGCAAGATGATTGGGCTACCCTGCTACCCCTGGCTGAATTTACCTACAATAACGTCATAACTCATCCACAAATCAGACTCCATTTGCAGCCACCTATTGGTACCACCCTCATTTTTCCTGGCTGTCCTGCCGTCAACTGTAGTTCCTGCTGCTGATGCTCACGTATGCGAGTTGCAGGCTCTCCAAGACCTACTCCAAGAACAGCTTCAGCAAGCTAAGGATGCCTATAAGACAGTGGCCGACAGAAAATGGAAAGAAGGGCCACCTCTGAAACCAGGGGACCAGGTCTGGCTTTCCACCCATTATCTCCGCCGATCTGGCCAGTCCCACAAGTTGGACCCTTGGTTTATAGGACCTTATTTAACCTGTTGCAGCACCGGACCCAACCCGACCCCCACCCCTGGCTCCACCTCTGCCCGTTTTGGTTGATGGCGAGGAGGAATACGAGGTCCATCATATCCTGGATTCCTGAATCCACCGGGGAGGCCTTCAGTACCTCATGGACTGGGAGGGGTACGGCCCTGTGGATCAATCATGGGAACCTACAATTAACTTACACACCCCCGAGCTTGTACAACAGTTCCATGCCTCCTATCCTGATCAACCTGGCCCATCTGAAGGGGGGAGCCCTGAGGAGGGGGACAGTGTCATGAGTTTTGCCGAAGATCTGGAATTTGAAGGGTTAATTACAGCTGAGGAGAATGCTAGGCAATCAGAATCAGAGGCAGCTGAATCACCACCAGATTCTCCTCCCCCAGTAGCCAGAGTAAGGGACAAGCTTCAGCAAGGACTCATGACACGGATATCCAAAGCCTGCATGAATGCTTCCCATAGGAACATCAGGTTGAACAGCCCTGAGTATTAGCAGGATGAGGTGTTTAGATGGCTGCTGTTGCTATAAAATCTGCACCCAGACGCTGGCAAGCTTGTGGAAGCAACACATCAAATCTCTGGTTTGCATTCATGTTCCTGACTATTTTGAACCTTATTTTCTGGGCCCTTGGCTTTGGACTCTGACTCTGGACTACATTGTGTGATTTGGCTTTGGACCCTGGCCTCGTATTACGGTTTGTGATTTGGCTTTGACATTTTGATATCGGCTCTGCATTCTCTGAACTTCTGACATTGGTCTGGCTTATCGGACTCTGCTGTTGAAACCCCCGGGAACGTGACAGTATGGGGCAACAGGAAAACCCTGAAAATCTCACATACCCCAAAAACCCTATTAGGGATTAGGGTTGCCACAATTCAGAAGTGACCTGACATCACAAATAAATAAATTGTCTATAATTTTAACTGGCCAGTGAGTTTTTGTTTCATTTCTCTCAATTTTACAGATTTATATTTTACTGTGCTTTTATTATATTGTTGATATAGTTTTTTATGTTTGTATAAAACATCTTAAAACTTGCTTTTTGTGGATGAAAATTGGTCTATTGGTGTTTTAAATAAATGGGTAGTGTGTTTTGGCTGCACGTCTCCCTCAAAAGATAACCTTGCCATATAATCGACACAAATGCTCATGCAGATGAGCATCCACACTTACTATGCTTATAAATGTCTGTTCATAGTTCTCCCTTTCTGGACTGGGGTAGCAGGATTAAGCCAGTCAGATCCAATATAATCTTGATATTTCATCAGGTATTTTTACTTAGGGATATCAAAAAAATTTCAATTTCTTTCCAAGATTTAGCCACCTGTTTAGCATCATGTTCCAGGCAAAGGTTTAATGATATGTCTACACAGCCTTCCCTTTAATTTTCCAGAAGACACCTTAATAAAGCTCCTATTATATCCGTAAGAGTCATAGGCAGGCAACATCATACTCAGTTCTCTTTGAAAATCTGCCAGAGCATCCATGGGTTGACATTTGGTGACAAAGATATGTGAATACAGGAATATGTTGTATTTACAATAGAGTCAAACTTCGTATTCACTTTGAGCTTTTTGGAGAGAAATATATATGAATAAAACATTCCTAAGGAAATACAGATGAGTAGCAAAGTCAGAACACAAACATTTCTTCCTGTGTTTCGCATTTGATGGTTATATAATGGTTTCAGTCCAGAGCTACAAAATCTGCTTGTGACTTACTTCCTATTAATTTTCTATTCATTGCATTTTTTATGTTTCCTTTCTCTTGGCAACTGCTTGTAACTCAGTATACATGCAAATAGAGGTATTTATTACTAAACAAAGTAACAGATGTTAAGATAAGCCTGAATGTAGCTCCAGTCCTGTATAGACTTACCTAGAGGTATCCCTATGAGCTCAATATCTACCAACCACAGTTTAGATATAATGAATGCTCAGGAGTTATTTGGTATTTTGATTATTTCTAGAACACCCTATATAGAATTGTGGTCACTACAGCTTGAATGAATGCATGTACTTCACGGTGAGAACCCACTTTGGCAAGAGAGCCAATTACGCAAAGAGAGTGTCTTCCAGTCAGAGTATAACAGCAATTTAACCGCTGCTAGTAGCAAGAAATATATGAAGTTCAGTTATCCTGTATTTATTAGCTAGCTTCATCCTAAGTAGGCAAGGTAAGACTCACCAGTGCAGTATGGGAATTTACAGGTGTGGTTCCATGACACCAAGCTGTAGAATGTTGTTGATATTACAAAAAGGGCAAGAGAGGTATGAGTTCTAACTGAGTCAGTGAATGGGATGAACAAGTAACTTCTAAGCATACCCAATTCCTCTGGCATGTGCTTTTACTGTAAAGTCTGGAAAGTCTTATCTTTGGATCATCTCCCCTCTCAATCTTATGTGATGCTGCTTTTTTTTCTTTCTTAGTCAAATATTCCCTGGTAATAAGACAGTGAACCAACTAAAGCATCAATGAGATGCCTACTAAGCAGCTGAGGACGACAAGAACGTACAGGTATTTTAAAATTGTCTACCGACATCTGGTTCTCAGAATCCACTGATGGTCGACGGACATTAGTAGATGAGTAGCTTATCGGATAGGACTGGGCTGGGCGCCGGAAAGTCATCTCTGCTGAGGCAATAGGTGGCTTTGGAGAATTCTTGTGGTAGCGATGGATGAAGTAGGAAGAAAGGAGCACTGAAATAATGAAGGAAAGGAGGACTCCACCTGCAATCACCGTTTTGCACATGTCATCACACAATGGTTCTGTGGATAAAGAATTTTATAAGGACAATGAACAATAGTTTTCCTCTCTCCGTTCCCCTCAATGTTTGCATTTGTAACATTTCTAAACAAGCTAAATGTTAGGAGGAAGAACAGAGATCTGATAGAGGAACATCTACCTCAATGATTTCAGAAAACTTCTGTCAGTTATTGATGCTGCTCCTACAGCCACTAACAACTCTCTAATGCTCCAAATAAGGGATTGTTCAGATAGGCATTTGCCCTGCTGTTTGGTGTGCTGCAGGGGTGGATTGTTTTGCTCTTTTTTCAGCAGCTTCACATAATCACTACAGTCGACCAGTTTATCCTCAGAGCATCCCAACCTGCAACTCTGAAAGCCCCTATCAGGGGTCCCCCCCTTTTTTAGTACAGTTAGTGTGCCCTAATTTAGTCTGTTCCCAACACATGCCATTGGTGTTCATCCTATAGTATTCACTTAACAGTTAAGAAAGGGCATATTTTAGCATGCCATAGACTTGAAATTTGCATGCACAGAAGAAAAACGGCTTTTTTGACTGAACACAGAATTATCATCTATAAGTTTTGTGTTAAACAGGATGGTTTTTATTACTTCTTGCCCATCATTACATGCTGTATGAATGACATCTGTTATATTTTAGTGTATTTTGATTTAGAACAGTTTTAGCGATTAAAATAATTTTTAAAAGAAGAAAAAAAATAAAGAATGCATCTGCTTTTTTTTGTACTACAACTCTCAGAAGTTCTAATTCAAATCTTATGAGCTGAAATGATTTTTCCACTCTATTTTTGGTTTCTAAAATAATAACAATAATGAAGCTATAGAATGAGCAAATGTCAAACTCACCTCGGATATCATCCTTCTCACAATAACAGCTTATATCTGGAAAGCAGTGACAAACTCCATGTCCTGCCCTGATTCCAGTCCCAAGAACCCCTTTCTGATGACCACCAACGATGTTGGCCCCTAAATTAGATACAGATATAAGCAAAATCCATTCTGTATGAAGGGATCAATATATAGTGTTGGTTTCTTCTGTTGTATATTTAAAGTATTGGCTTGCATAAAAGCTGGGTGAGAAACCTGCCCACTGATTGGGGGGTCAAGCTCTAACAAAACTGCACAGAACTCACTTTGTGGGTTACCACGATGATAAACAATTCCTGCTACAGGACAGCCCCCCTTCCATATGGCATCAGAGACTGATGCAGAGATGAGACATGAAATTCAACTTGATTTGTTTCATACACAAAAGCAGCAGCACTACTGCTAACTTTACTGAGACTATTATTCAAAGTGATAATTCTGCTGACAGCTATGCATGAGAAAGTCCCATCAAATCAATGCAACATAGACTCATAAAACAATGAACAAAATCCTATGAAATATGATGAGTCCTCCAGTCACAGTGTTGTTCCTGGTGTCTAATGTTAGGGCTGATGGTGTGAAGGCAGGAATTTGAGACAAAACTCATGAACGTGATACACAGACAAAGCTGGGAAGCCAGCAAACTGATGATGAAACTGATGACAGAGAAGGGAGAAGCAACAAAACAAATGAGAATTGCTTGTTTTGTTAACCCAAAAAAGCTGTGACAGAGAAGTCAAGAGGGAGAGAGCTTGGAAATGTTTGTTTTTTAAACTATAACTCCCTGAATTCTTTACCTAGCTCTGTTGGCTAGTGGATTCTGGGAGATGTAGTTAACCCTCCCCCAACATTTCAAAGATCTGCAGCAAAGTTAGAGGTTTTATAGGACCAGATGAAACCACACTGATCCCCTATATCATCTGAGATGAGTCTCATTGAGATGGGTCTCATTACCATTATATTCTATAGTCAATGTCTTGTGGATAAGCATGCGTGTGAAGGGGCTTGAATCCACTCCCACTGTGCTTTCCCTTCCAATTTCATTTTAAAGGAATAAACCTCCACTGGCCCGAAGAGAGTTTATTTTTCATTCCTTTTTGGCTGGGGTGGGGGTGGGCTAGGAATTTGAAACAATGTCCAGTCACAAAGGTAAGAAAGCCTCTATGTGCACAGCCAGCCACATATTGGCTTCTGGAACTGTTGGACAAAAAGTAACTTTTCCAAACTGTGTCTTAAACTACATGACACCTATTTAGCATATTGTGCAGGGATCTCAACAATTTAGCTTGGTATGTGGGCACTGATTCTGTTGTACCAATACTTAGAAAGGCCTTCCCCAGTGCCATCTTGGTGCTCAGGAATTACAGGATCAAAGAACAGAAGTGGAAGGCCTATGCAACAGACTTAGCAAAGGATGTTGGGAAACAGACATAAAGAGGAGGCAATTCCAGGTCTAATCAGGAGGAATGAATGTGTAAGCAGTAATGACAGCCTGTCTGAACTGAGACCCTAAGCTAGTGGGTAATGGGAAACACAGAAAAGACAAGTATGCCACCAGGATATGACCAGCTGATCTAGCATTGTATTTATATGCATGTGTGGACACTTGCAAAAATCATATTGATTTGTGTGAATGTTAAGGAAAAAAAAATAAGAATCACCACTAGGTTACTGCTTGTGTTGTGGTTAAATTTGTTCCCATCATTATAGGCCCAGACAGTGGGTAAATGGGAAACAGAACTTCTTATTGGGTGTAGTTTAAAAGCTATGTTCTGCCTAGATAGTGACACTATATACTGTAAAAAGAGTCTGTTAAGTATCAGCTCAGTGGTTTAGGTATCCAGCTGTAGAGGCAGAGGTTGGGGGTTTCAATTCCCCACTGTGCCTCCTGGGAGAAAAGCCAGTCTGTGCAGTCAAGTACAAGCTGTACAGTCCCAGGGTGCTCCCAGAAGAAGGGGATGATAAACCACTTCTGTGTGTTCTCTACCCCAGAAACCCTGTAAAGGGTCACCATAACTTGCAATGCACTTGACAGACACAAGGCATAAGTATCAGCATGAAGGAATAGACATTTTGGAACCCAAAGGAGCATTACTTTAATAGGGACATTGGAGGGCCAATGGACAAGCTGCCACTGGCTGTATTTGGCTGGCGGGAAAAATGTATGGGCATGGTATATGTTCCTGTATTTTCCAAAGTAAAAAAGAGACCTCAGTATATTTGTCATCTGAAGCCAAACAGGTAGAGGCCTGAACAATACCATGATTAAATGGCAGTTCAGAGGTCTGAAAGCACCAAACCAAACATACCTATCTATTCAGGCATTGTCTCATCGACTGCAGAGAGACTTCTACCAGGTACAGTACCATAGCTTAAGAATACTACCTTGAGTGCACTTCAGTTACAAATTGATTGCATTAGTAAATACCAGTGAAATTTTGGCTAAGAATAGTGTAGCCTACAGATCAAGTGCATTATCAAGCCCATGAAAATCACTTGTGATGAGTAGAGAGGGGGGCATTTGTATTTGAATATGAATATCCCCCCACACACAGGTGTAGGGAGCGTGGAGCGGTGGAACGGTGAGTGGACGGTCTGGCCCCAGGAGGCTGGACCCTTGTTATCTTCACCTGTGGTGGGTATTTGTATACGAATACCCTCATCTCTAGTGATGAGTCAGTTTAGCTTTGTTACTACTGAATTTCCTCATCTTAAAATGGCAATAATGACATTTAACTACTTTTGCAGAGTATGCACATGGTGACTCTGACTCAAAAACACACAACACAAGTGCTAAATATAACTGCATTACATAATCTTTAAATGAGCAGTCTGCCATCTGCACAGGGTAGATGCTGTCTTAACTGTGGAACCAAAATTCACTGTGTAGATCAGCTGCAAAGCAAAACCAATTTAACAAGTATTTTAAAAATCCAGTCACTAAACCATGGAGATGTAATTGCGGTTTTCTTCTTTTGCATCTATACTGTCCTTTTGATGCCAACTCTGTATCATTCAAATAATCTCCCTGAAAACTGTGGACTAATTCTGAAGAAGTCTCTGATACAGAATTGATGTGGATGCATAAAAATAAAATGGATGCAAGGCAAACTTGGTTTAAAATTTAATTCACACAAAAGATTTTCCTATCATGGCAGTTTTGGAGGTTTTAAGGCACACTTATTTCAGTACAATTTTAAAAAAATGTTTTAAAAGGACACCATGTAGATGAAGGAAAAAAAATATTGAGTTATATTCAGTCCTTCACTAGCAAAACTCATGTAAGCAGGCTTTACAGACTCCTTCCCCTCTGCAGCCCTTCATGTTCCCTCCCTTCTCAAACGCTCTCCTGAGTTCACATTCCAAGCTTTTCCTAATAACAGCCCAACTTTCCAAAAAAGCCTTTGGGAAGGCACAGTTGATTGCAATGGGAAAGAAGTGGGGAAATTTGCATACCTGCACGTGTGTTACTGTACAAGTACAAATTTACCATTTAAAAAAATAAAAGCATACACTGTTCCTGCTCTCTGTCTTAAAAACCAGTGAAAACTGTAATTTTCCAGATTTTCCTAGCCTAGTGCTCAAGTAGTTGTGATTACATTATACGCACATTTTTTGCACAAGCGCTTTATTTTCGTTTTCCACTTTGGTGCATCATGGAACAAACTGGGGGGGGGGCTCTGTAACCAGCCCCAGCCTAGGCTTGTCACTTTTAAAAATAGCTTTCCCTTTAAAAGTTTGGCATCAGCCAATAACCACCCCAGATCTAGTGGTTAAAGGATGAAAAATGATATTCTCTTGATTACAATGTAACAACTTGAGAACAGATCTAAGCTTCAGTTCTTCTTCAGTTATGAACCAATAGCCCAACAACACACACCCCTTCTTTCATTACACTTTCCTTCTCTTTTTCTTCCAGACCTTCAGCCCCGGCCTTCTTCAGGCTCCAGGACAGGCTGGCCACATGCATCACCCATCCGATCACCTTGCTTCTCTGGTACCAAGGAAATTAGTCAGAGTTCCTGTCACAAAATTCCAGAATGGCAGAGGAGGCTGCTTGCATTTCTTGGTCTTTTGAGTCACACATGCCTTTCTATACACCTTATCAGGTTCTTTAATAATTTTCCATGTAGTCTGCATGGAAGTTCATCATCAATAATTCCCTGAATATTTTTTTAATAAACATTACACAGTTCTGTGGTTTTACCATGCCATCAAATATGCAAACAGACTTCACTCAGTGATTTAAAAAGGTCAGTAATATTACACCTCTCACTCTGAATGCAACAGTGTTGCTCAGCTATTATCTGCTTTTAAAAACCCCTCAAAAGCTGTGTCTGTGAGGTTAGTCATAGTACATCTGGTTCTGTCTCTTTGCATTTCAGATAAGCAAAGCTGCCTCACAAGCCAAAAGACAAAATGCATATCAGTAGACAAAATAAGAAGGATGAGTATTGTTTCCATACTTGTACAGTCTTGAGGGCATATTTTTTCATCTTTGATTTCAACAGCATCACAGGTACCATCGGGACAAGTCTTGATGCTCGGACTGCAGGTGGAATAGTTTGTAGTTATTCCTAAGAGCAGGAAACAAATGAGAGAACTTGGCACATCACCTGAGTGGCTTAACTAGTTTTTCCCTGCAAGATAGTACAGTATGTTAAAAAAATCATCCTGAAAACTTTGCTGTCACTAAAATAACTGCACAGAAATGCCAATTTAAAGAATATAAGATTATTTCTTCTTTTTTTGTAATTTTTGTTTCAGTCTGGCACTTTTCTGAATTTGAAAGCCCTGTGTATACTGTGTAGACATGCACTTACATCTGTGGTAAGAGCTTGCTTAAAACATCTTCAGAGCAAAATGGGCTTTCAGGATCTCCCTGAAGTGCCATTTTTTCCATTGGCTACCCTTTTCAAAGCACTTTCCAGCAACTGTTTCCATTCTCTGCTGGTCCTTCAATGCCATTTTCTCCTCTTGCACTGCTAGACCTCAGTTAAGGAAGGATCACACAAGTATGTACGTAGACATCATAATGCTGCATAGCTAGTCCGATTGTGGCAAAAACACTGAAATCATGCTGGCCTCCCTTAGGCAATAGAGAAGATAACCAGGCTGACTGACCCTGCCTTGTGATGCTGCAATAAAGCTGTCACCATGCAACATGCTAGGAGGATCAGCCCGTTGCCCTGGCAACAAAGGTAGGTTTTATATTATCACATAGACAAGATAAACCCTACCTTTGTTGCACAGTAAGGCAACATTGCTTCATGGTAAGGCAAGGACAAGAAATTAGACTTGCTGTGAAATGTCTTTCTGATCAGTGCAGGGGGCCTGACATTCAAGCCTTACTCCTCCTCCAACTGGAGAAAACAGAGCCATAGACCAATTTTGTCCCTGCACCAGATGAAGAGGAAACACAGAGCCTAGCTACCAGTACTCAAACACAGGTCAGAGATACTGCTTCCTGTCTGTAGGCATAGGGGTGGGTGGGGAACCCATCATGTTCTAGAAGTCCTGCTTGTTGTATTGAATAGTGCCTGAAGGAAGGAATTGTTCAGGTAATGATAAATGTGCATCCCAGATGAGTGGAGGTGGCCAATGAGGGCAGCTATGGTCTTTGTGAATATCTTGGAAGCTGAAGAGAGCTCAAAGGGCAGTGATCTATACAGATGGAGCCATATGAGAAGCAGAAAAATTTCCTGTGTGTCACCCTGCCAGGATAATGTAAGTAGACCTAGTTTTGCTTGATAGGCATCAGGAAATCTCCTAGATGGGTTGCACGGGCTGTTGATCAGAATGTACACATCTTAAATCTCTTACCTCTAACTAACATGTATATGAACTTCATGTCTAATATTGCCCTTGATCTCCCCCCCACTTTTTTTTTTTGGTAACAGTAGACCTAGATCAGAAGACAGAGAAAACACCAAACACCAGCACATGTCATGGCTTCTAAGGCCCCGATAGCTGCTGTAGGCCTGGAGTATTTCACCTTGTGGTGGGAGGCTTGGGGGAAAACCTGTCTCTCTGCTTCTTTGATAATGTGAAGGAAGATGGTTCTGCAACTGATAAGTAGGGCCAATTGTGTCCCTAACAAAATGGGGGTTTAGAGCAGGGATGGAGAAGATCTGGACTGTGGGAAGCCTCTGTGTAGCTCATGAGCTTTCCCACTGGTGTTCTCTCTGGTCAGTAAAGTTTGGCAATCACATACAGAAGTTAATTAAATCCACTTTAAGGAATTACCTCCACCCACTCATTAGCATGCAGCCTCTGCTTGTTTGGACCATCTTGAAATGATCTGTCATCTACACCTAGGGGGACCAAAGGTCACAAACTAAACTCTAAAAGATCATGTTGTTAAACTGATGTGATCTTCCAAGCCGATGTGGTACTATTAAAGTAGCACTGCTATTTTTGAAATTGAAAGTAACCACAATACGTTAAAATATTGACTAAATAAGTTTGTTTCTTCCAAATTTCTGTCACTGACTCAAACCATTCTGAAAGTTTTTTTCATTATGGCAATTTGCTTCAGCTCTAAATGTATGTCCTGCACTCCAAATGGATTGGCTGTATAAGTAACAGGTTTATTATCAATTAAATAATGGAAAATATGGTTTCTCGGTGTCATTCCATTCCTCAGTCCTACATAATTTTTCATTAAAATGTTTTCTCTAGAAGAACATACGGATAATGTGGGGCAGTTCTGGGGAATATCTTCAACTCTGAACTTACTTTGAACTCTCTCATTTCTCAGTATCTTTAAATCTCCTTTCTAAAAACAACAACTGAATGGCATAGTCCGAAAGCAGGGAGCAGTAACAGTTACTTACTTTAGAAAGAAAGTAAAGAGAAAGGACAGAATTATCAGCCGTGAGTGTTAACAAGGAAACATGGGAGGTCCCTACTGTTCCTCTTTGAGATAACAACTGAAGACAGAGCTACCCATGCTCTTTGATGCTGTTTGTCACAAATGTTCTGAAGACAGAGCTACCCATGCTCTTTGATACAAATGTCGTTCATTCTTTCTTTGCATTTTCATTTACTTCCAGAATGCCCAGACATACCTTTCCCACTTCCCTGTCTCCACTGACACTTCCCCATCAGCACTCCAACACCACCACACTCTTCGCATTCTGATCGGGTCTTACTCACAGCACAGGAATCTGGACAGTCATCATCATTATGGATAACTACATGGAGAAGAAGATCAGCAGTATCAGCAACAGAAAAATCTATGTTTACTACGCTTACCAGTTCTTAGAGCTGTACAAGCTGCGGGAGATGTTATTCAAAATGTCTTGTGAAAAGATATGAATCTGTTCTTGTCTCATTCTCTCTGGGAAATTGAGAGGGAAAAAACTTTTCTTCTTCTTACTAGATCTCTTAGCAAGAGACTTTCTTTTAAAAAACATTCTTCCTGAAAGTTGCATATTGTTCATGTGTTGCAGAACATTTGGGCTGAAATCCTGAAATTGTTTTAATTTATGCTGTGTAAGGCTGATGACATCACCAGCTGGAGCAATTTTTTAAGAAATTAATAATTTTCAATCTCCTCTGGCCCCAAGGTTCCCTTGGGATCCATTTCATCATAGGAAAGTCATTGGGAACTGGAGCATTGGTGGTGATGGTGGTGGGTTTTCATTTCCAAAAAATCATCCCTGCAAGTAAAAGCATCCTACTGACAATAATACTGGGAAATTAAAGACTTTCCTCCTCTTCTGAACCTTAACAGCTTTCTCGCAACAAAAGGGATTCAAGGGAGCCCTGGGACCTTTGAGGAGGGGAGCAGAGCAGAGACTGGACATTTTTAATTCCTGAAAAAGTGCTGTGCCTGATTATGTCATCAGTCTTACACAACTTAAGTAAAAGCAACAGGATTTCAGCCTTTGTGTAGAATGTGTTCTCAGGCACCACCAATATGTAGGAATAGCAACAGCAGGCAGTCTCCTGCTGGTTGTTGTTGTTGTGCTACTTAACTAGCATAAGATATGTTTGGTGGAGGTATGAAAAAGGCTTGCTAAAATTCCTGCCTCCAGAATAAGAATCAGATATTGAATGCTTCTTTTCAAGATTTTCTGCAATTTGCATATAAAGTCTTTGCAATCACCTATACATCTAATTATCTTACTCCCTAAGAAGTAAAATGTACACATATAAACATACAAATACAAACAGGACAGGCTGATTATTAAGAAAAGTGGTAAACAGACTATCTAACGCTTCTGATAAAAATCCAAGCAAAAAGGCAGCTGCAATTGCAGTTTTGACTAACTCGTGCAAATTGTGCAAAATATGCAATCTCCACAAGGTACACAATCGGAATAAAATTCCCCATAAAGTATCTGCATAAATCTGGTGTTATTTCCTTTTGAGAAGCAAAGTATGCACATATAGCAAACACAGTAGGAACTATTGTTTGTTTTAAAAAAAGAGGAAAACAACTTCTTTGATGCATCCAGTTCTTAAAAATCTACAGCAGGCAGCAGAGATGTAGCTTTTAGTGATCTGTGCAAAATGTGCAAGATACACAATTTATACAACAACCATTGATTGATTCCACTAGAAGATACGTCTCCAGTGGCAGGAGGAAGAGGAACATTTTTACATACAGTATTTGTCTGAGGACAGAAGCAAGGATCTACACTCCTAATCATTTAGATCCCCAAGAACTGCTTGATGTTCCATGCAAAACAGAGAACATGCAAAGGAAACATGATACTTCACACAGCAACAAATGGCTTTCTTGCACAAAAAAATCAGTGTTGATTCAGAGGGGGTTAAAAAATCAGGCCATCTCACTCTCATGCTCCAGCTGGGACATCTTGTAGGAATGAAGATGTTCCCATTGCCCCACAAGAAGGCAATATTGGAGGGAACAAGAATATAAGTGGGTATTAATTACATTCCTGATATGGAGATCCAAAAGTTCCCCCATCTTGTTTTAAAGAATTCAAAGTTTATCTCGAACAGTTTTCTTCTAACCTGATACTCTCATGTGTTGGATTACACCTGTTCACTGGAATGATGGCTCAATATGTTGGGATTTGAAATCTGACATCTGAAGGATGATAAATTAGAGAAAGTCGCTCTTCCACAAAACAGAGATGTTAACTTACGGGATCCATCAAGCACAATTGTGAGAAGGGTGTATGCTTCTTTCTTGCTCCGCTCTTCTCTAGCTATCACAGGATACTGTATTTCTTTGCAATCATGTCTTTGTAGCACAGCGGAATTGTTTACATACAGGATTCCAAACTTGCCCTCTTGGCCTTGGGCGATTGTCACAGCATAGCAGCTGACATTGGGGGTCTGTAAACTATAGGTGACATTGACCCCATAAAACCTCATACAGTTGTCGATGCAGAGTTTTCCAATCTAGGCTCAAAAAAAGGAGACAGAACCCAATAAAAATGTCAGCATCAAGCACAAAAAGCAGAGAAATAGGCAGTGACCTTTTACGCATCTCTTTTAACCCACATTACAGCAGATAAGCAACCCCATACTCAGAACCATGGATCTTCTCTCTCTCTCTCTCTCTCTCTCTCTCTCTCTCACACACACACACACACACACACACACACACACACACACACAGAACTAATGTTTGAAGAGTCAACAGTTGTTTGGCTGCAAAATCAAATCATGAAACACACATTCAAACATAGTCCAGAAAGAACAAAGAAAAGGCCATGTGGTCCCCAACAGTACACAAATTCAAAAGTGGATAATACCTTTTATTGGACCACTAAAAAAAAAAACCCCAATCAAATAGCAAGCTTTCATGGATGCAATCCACTTTCTCGGGCTAAGCACACTCCTCCATGGATAGTGAAAAAGTTCTACTTTTTTCCTGCACTATTCATGAAGGCTTAGCCTGGGGAAGTGGATTTCACCCACATTTGATTGATTTTTTTAAAAAAAGAGATTTAATAAAAGGTATCACCCTCTCTTACATTCAAACATGTATTTCTATTCCTTTAAAGCAGGGGTCAGGAAACTTTTTTACCTTTTATCCCCCCCCAAAATGTATATATGCCGACATTACCCCCTTGATTTGAAAGGAAGGAAATCATACATTATTTGAATTCAAAATCTTATTGAATATATTCAAAATTACTTTGAAAGCTTCAACTTGCTTGAAAACTTCAGGTTTTGAAGAAATGATGTTGCTTCATCTTGGATATGAGAGTATCAATATTGTCACTCCGCTCATCCTCATTACCCCCAGGATTTTCATTTTTACCCCATTTGGGGTAATTTACCCCTGTTCCCTGACCACTGCTTTAAAGGCATCGCTATCCCATATTGCAATACAAGTTAAAAATCTCCCAACTCTGGGAATCACAGCCACTTTCTCTCATTAAAACTGCATGTGTCAGTTTCATCTGAGCTCTTGCGGACAGGGGCTGGCTCTCCAAAGTTGTCAAGGAGTCAAATCCTATTTCTGAGGTGGCAGATGCTGCTTCTTGGCCATGGAGTTGCAGCTTTATTCATTCATTTGGTTGTCAAAATAGAGAAATGACTTTACTCCACAATTTAATTGCTTCCTTACACTGTTGTATTTTCCTCAGGGTAAAAGGCTGTCTAATTTTCCTCTCTACTTCCTGGCCTGTCTTTCTCCCTGTGTCAGATAATCATTCCAAATTACGCCTAATATGTCAGGAATATCAAGTGCCATGGCTCTAGGGACTGAGATGCTTGAATCAAATTCTCTGCTACATTCATATCAAAATATAAAGGCACAAAGATCATCAATCTGTATAGAAGGACCCCTGTATCCACTGGACTGGAATTTGTAGTTTCACTTTCTGGCAGTTAATCGCCACCTTATATACAACTTAGTGGTACAATATACCATATGGGCGGGATATAAATCGAATGAAAACAAACAAACAAACAAACAAACAAACAAATAAGAAGGATATCCCCTTGTGGCCTCTGTCCCACCTCCTTGTATGTTACACATATAGAATCCCTATATCCACAGTTTCAGGTATCCATGGTAGATTGTGGAACTGATCTGTTGTGGATCTGGGAGTTCTACTGTACACAAGAGAAAGGCACTGCCTTTATATAGTGCTGAACGAAGCTTGCCTTCCTTTTAGAAAGAGAATCAGTAGGTCTGGGGTTGTCACACCTTCCTTTTAGAAAGAGAACTGGGCAAACAGGTTCTCTGTGCAAATGGGCATCTGCAGTGTATCTCGCTCATACAAGACATTGCTCCCATGGCAGATGGAAAAGAATTCGCCCTTCCAGTACCGGACAGTGGCACCAGTCATAGTAAATGAATGAACAACAGCTCTATTACACAACTTGATGTCTGCCATTGTAGGGCCTTGTTTAGCATTCAAAAACAAATTGTAAAAAATTAATCATTTGCTGCTATCTTCAAGTAAACCAAAAGAATATACTTGAAGGACCGCCTCCTTCCATATAAACCTACCCGGCAGTTAAGATCTAGCCAGGGGGCCCTTTTGAAAGAGCCATCCCTCAAGGAGGTAAGAGGGATGGCTTGTAGACAAAGGGCCTTCTTGGCAGCTGCCCCCAGACTATGGAACGCCATCCCAACTGAAATTCATCTGGCGCCGACGTTGATGACATTTCGGCGCCAGGTCAAAATCTTCCTGTTCCAGAACGCTTTTAATTGAAATAACATCAACTGTGGGTCCTGATGATGGCAATTTTAATTGTATTTTAATTGTATTTTAATCATTTTATTTTTATTGTATTGAATTTTAATTATTGTAAGCCGCCCAGAGACCTCTGGGTAGAGTGGGTGGCATATAAATTCAACAAATAAATAAATAAATAATAAGATTAAATATCCTTGGAAGTTTTTTAATGACAAAGCTGATATACATGAATTTTGTGATTAAATTATTTAAAAAAGGGAAACATAATCAACTTGTGCTTTCATCAAAACACAACCCAAGTACAAGTTGATTCAATGCACAAGTTCTCCAGTTTTGAAAAAAAGCCCCTCACACAACAGCGTAAGAGAGAGAGACATGGCAAAAATCCACCTATGTCCCCACAATTGGGCCTCCAGTGGGACACGTGGGCTGCACTGTGAACGAACCAGGTTCTAGGGTTTGTCCCCCCCCCCTCACCCCAAAGTAACCCTGTGCAGGTAAGGGTTGGTTAAACATTTTTCCCAGCCAGGTTTTAAACTATGTTTATTCCTCCCAAGGTCTTAAAGATAGGATATAAACTCCTGTGGAACAAATGGATGAGTATCTTCTCAACAAATTCAACCTCCAGGAGTAATCCTGCAAGAGTAATCCAGGTCCCCATGCTGTTTTAAAACAATGTTCTCCATTTTATTAGAGGAACACAGGAAGAATAGTCAGTTTTCCAAGAAATAAGAACATAGGAAAGTGCCTCTGGACCACTGGTCTCACCCCAAAGTAACCCTGCATAATGCCTGGCCAAGTAATGACATAATGCCTTAAAGACCGAAAGACTGGCTGGACAGCTCAGTGAGTTAGGTATCTAGCTGTGAAGTAAGAGATTGGGAGTTTTATTTCCCACTGTAGCTCTGGACAGAAGAGCCAGCCTTGTGACCTTGGGCAACAGTCCCAGGGCACACCCAGAAGAAGAGAACGGCACACTGCTTCTGAGTACTGTACTTTCTACCTGGAAAACCCTGGAAAGGGTTGACTTGACAGCATTCAGTTAATTATTAAAGATCAAATTCTTTTGTGGTACAAATTTTTATATTTCAATCTAGAATCAATCTTTCAGATGTCATTTTTTCTCCAAATGGGATTACTGAAACTGCCCTCGAGATTTAGAAAACCAATGAAGAGAATTATTTTGAGTCAGGATTCATCGGAACAATTTTTTTTTGCATAGAAGTAATTTCAGCCCTCAGAAGGGTTATTTGTTTTTGTCTTCCTCCAGAATGATAATTTATCTCCTCCCTCAGTAGCACCCATGACTCAAAAAAAGAAGATGATGAAAGGTAGCCACATGCATTGTCCTCATGCTCCCGGCATGGAGTTGTAACATGTGTGTGTAGTCTCTGTCTATAAATGGATATTTATATTTTATGCTAGTGACATTATTTGCCAAGAAAATTTTAGTGACATTTGTGAACTGAAATTACCGATTAATGTACGTTGAGATCAAGGATTTTAAAAATTTGTAATTTTAAAGAAAGTAATTATTGGAAATTTTACCCAAATGTTTCCTGTAATGTCACTCACATAAAGTGCAATTTTTAAAAGGCATTTAAACTCCCTGTGGGGGACACCACTTGTTTTGAAATGAAAGATAAGACAACACAAAACAATTTAATGTACATCAGAATTCACACAAAACATGAAATATCTTGTTAACAGTGTTTAAAATACAATATTAACCATTATGGAATTCTCTGTATTTAACACTGCTGCAGCATTTTGTAAGAGATGCAGGATATTTCTGTCTATTTATAGTTCCATGTTTATTATTTAAACTTAATTTGTTTTGTGAATTATTAAAAGCAATTTTTGCTAACATCATTTTCTGTACAATTTTGCTTGTTATCATTCTCTCCATTTTTGTTTCAAATTGCTTTCAACAAAAAAACTCAGCTGCTGTTTTGTTGCTTCTAACTTCCATGTTTTTTGCTCAAATGAAATTCTCAGACATTCTACTCCTCCTCTAATGGGCAAGATACATCAAATGTCACAGAAATGGGATATATTTTACAGGCAATTTAGACAGGCACAAATACATTGGAATTTATTTGCAACTGTGTTTTGAGTTACTAGAAGGAACCTTTCTGGGTTGGAGTGACTGTCAATCTATCCAACACTAACCAATCATTCCTTCCTGCCTCTGAATTTAAAGAAAGCTCCTCCTGTCTGCTGAGTGCGCTTTCCCTCTCTTTAATCTCTTGGAAGCAGTGTTTGTTTGCTCTTGGTCTATTTACAACTGTAAGTAATGAAATATTTTTATTCTCTCTCCTACAAATGTCTCAGATTGAGTTACTGAGACTTTAAGTGCCACTTAATGACAAAGGGATGAACTATCTGAGAAACCTGAAGTTATTCTTCTCTGTGAATCTCTGTACTTCTACTGCATAACAAAAGGAAATTTGACTAGAAATTGAAAATTCTGCAACAAAATACTGTTTAACAAAAAAAAATCAAACTCCCAGTAAATATCTGTACTTTTCCCTTAATAGGACTATAGACTGCTAGAAATAAAATATAGCAGGTATATGTTGGTAAGCATATTAAGAGTTACTGCCTCTCTCTGAAGGAAGCATGAGATGTCAAGCATTTTAAAACTGTGGTTACTGCAATTTGTACAAAATATTTATTTTCCTTTTCTGAAGCTAAACACACACACACACAGAGAGAGAACTACTAGAAAAAGAGAGGTTGGCACAAAAACACAAACGGCTCATGTAATACTTCTACTCTGTAATAGACCATGCAACAATGAGCAGTTAGATTTTTTCATTTATAGAAAGGAACAAAAAACAGTGATGGAAATATACAATTTTCCTCCAAGACCAACAGCAACAACAAGAACTAGCAAAATCTCACTGACTCACATGTGAGTAGAATACAGTGGTGCCTCGCTTGGCGATTGCTTCATTTAACAATGTATTTGCTTAGCGATGAGGTTTTAGGAGCGATCTTGTGCTCCGTTTAGCGATGTTTCCAATGGGGGAATTTCGCATAGCGATGTTCAGGACCATGCCTTGCATAGCGATGACAGTTTGGGTCCCCCTGATTCGCTTAACAATGTCCGTTTTCACTATTTTTAAAGTGTCTTAAAATGTTCAAAAACTGTTTAAAATGCTTGGAATTGTTAGTGCACCTTGTAAAACCTTTGCAAATTTAATTTGGCTTTGTTCTGAGTCTTCGTTAATTTTTGGTGAATCCCCCTCACCCCATTGGAATACATTGACAGCTGTCAAACCTACAGTTCAATGCATTTCAATGGGGGGAGAAAAAATTCACCAAAAATTAATGAAGACTCAGAACAAAACCAAATTAAGTTTGCAAAGGTTGTACAGGGTGCACAAACGATTCCAAGCACTTTAAACAGTTTTTGAACATTTTAAGACACTTTAAAAATAGCGAAAACGGACCTGTCAAAACCATTGAAATGCACTGAAACCTATTCAATGCATTCCAATGGGGGAACCGCGTTTCGCTTAGCGATGTTTCCTATGGCGATTTTCGCTTAAGGACAGTAATCTGTTCCCATTGGAACGGATTATCCAGTTTTCAATGCATTCCTATGGGAAATGGTGTTTCGCTTAGCGATGTTTTCCCATAGCGATGTTTTTTGGAACCAATTAACATTGCTAAACGAAGCACCACTGTAATCTTTGCTCTTTTTCATTTGGTACACAGGAGAAGTGAATCTGCATCACTGCTAGAAATAATATCAACAGCTGGGGCTGGAATCCTCAACTACAGAACATTAATTCATACACATATTTTCCTGCATTCCTTAATAATAAATGACTCATTTAAAAAACATAGAATGAAAAAATAAGCCATCCTTACTTGTGAAAAGTTGGCAGCATTTCTGTTTACTGTGAAGTGATATGTCACATTTGAAAACTGGATGCTGATTGGAAGAACGGAGACATTGAAGTGTAGCGTCAAGGATTTATTAGGTCCCTGGTATTCCGTGTCATTCACAATAACATCTAGTTGGAAGGAGCGGCTTTCCGTAACTGAAATGTTCTTGTTTAATACCAGTTCTGTAAGAAATGGAAGACTGGACTTACCATCAAAACAGAGGGGGGAAAGAAAAAGAGCATTTGGGTGAAAATTCTCTTGGGAAGCAGAATTTTAACTAAGAGAGACACCCAGTGGACAAAATAAGCAGGACAAATAATAATGGGTATAAAAGAATGAGAAGGGCACACTCTATGTGGAGACATAAAAACATTAATTTGGACAGTTATAATGGCATGCTACATTCTGCTCTAGAATACCACAGCAAAAACAAACAAAATCAAAAACCCTACCACTGGAAGCAGGTATATGAGAGAGAAATAAGAGACACTGTTTTTCCCGAAGATTCCAGACTAGAATACAGAGGTTTCTTCCTGATCATGAATGGATTCAGACATGGAACAAATAAGTGATCTTTCTGTGGTACATTTATGCACCCTGAGATCCTATAGTTACATCTGAACTGAATAGTTACACTACTAAACTTTCATTTAGCATATGAAGTACTGCCAATGACTACAAAGATGTCCAACAAAATATGCAAAAATAACACTAGATTGCAAATGGCTACAATTCAGAGGTGTTGGCCTCCTGTTACTATTTAAATACCAAGAATGACAGTCAATCCTGACTCTCAGAACTTAGAATTGATCTAAGCAATCTTGTGTTTTAAAGTAAGAATAAGGTGCAGTATTTCTTCATTATTTTTGGATATATGAAATGCACCACACAGTCTGAGCAAGGGGAGCATCTCATCCCCAAATCTGGGAATGAAGCATCTCTCCCCTCCCATCAGTCCAACTGTGTGCTGCTCCTGATACATTCATTCAGTTCACTAAATATATGTTGGCTTACCCCAACAGCTCAACTGAAGCTGTAGGCTCTGAACTACTGGGAAGGGTGGGCACAGTAGGAACCCACTACTGACTACAGAAAAGATTTCAAGCAGATCTGGCATTTTTCCACAGTTGCCTACAGGTTTGTGTTTAAACAATTTTGCCTCCCATGTTAAAGGGTCTCCATTACACATACACTCCTTAGTCAGTGGACAAGCTGTCTTATGTTTCTTTTCAAAGCCTATTTTACTAAGGACATGCCTACACAAGACTGTGTGGATGAATACATCCCAGTTCAGTTATGTAACCAGTTGTGTAACCAATGGCTATGATGGATAAAAATCTGCACTGCAGGTTATCCAGGCCCCACTGAGCGCACCACAAGGCCCAAATAAGTCCTAGCTTATTTATGAATACTTTAATATATTTCCATTAGAAATATAGCACAGCTGTATGTACCGACGGTCCAGCCCCCTGGGGCCGGACTGCTCTGCTCTCCCTTCTAATCACTTTGGAGCTCCTGGTTGGCTATCCACTTGTCAGCCTGGCAGGGAGACTTGTCTTCCCTCCTTCTCCCAGGAGTGGCTAGTCAACCAGGAGATTCGGAGCGATTAGAAGGGAGAGCAAAGTTGGCAATGGCAGCAGATGTGTGAGTGGATGTTCTGAATTAGAAGGGAGAGCAAAGTTGGCAATGGCGGCGGATGTGTGAGTGGATGGTCTGGCCCCAGGGGGCTGGACCTTTGTTACATCCAGCTGTACGGGAGTATTCTTACTCATACATGAATTCCCCCATCTCTAATTTCCATCCAAGGCCATTAGTCAGCTACAATATCTGTCACTGTGCTTTATATAGACAGGTTACCTACCTGTAATTGTAGTTCTTCAAGTGGACTTCCGTGATTCACACTATGGGTAATCCACACATGCGCGGAGCCTCATTGGGATATTCTAGAGCTTCTGCAGTAGCAAAGGAAAATACATTAGCATAGACTCCTCCCTACGGTATATGTACCTTGGTGCCAAGGCTCTCCATTCAGTTAGGTCAACCACCACATAAAGAAAAGGGTGTGACAGTGGGGACATGTAAATCACAGAGATCCACTCAAAGAACTACAATTACAGATAGGTAACATGTTGTTCTTCTTCGTGGCCTCTGTGAATCACAATACGGGTGACTAAAAAGCTACCATACCCCGAGGAGGGTGTCACACCAAGGCAGATGATAACACAGCACACCCAAAAGCAGCATCAGATTACTGCAGAATGTCCAATGTGTAGTGATTGCTAAACGTGGACAGCTGTGACCATGCGGCAGAGGCACAGATGTCTGGTATGGGGACGCCCCGAAGAAACGCCGTAGATGTCGCCAACATCCCAGAATGAGGACGGATACTCTGTGGTGCTGGAACTTGAGCAAGCTGATAAGCAAGCTGGATGGTAGACACAACCGCTTTAGATATTCCTTGCGAGGTAACTTGAAGACTGTCGACAGGAAGTTGGTAGCTGACAAAAAGTTTAGCTGAGCATCTGAAGGATTGAGTATGGGTTATGTAAAAGCTAAAGCCTGTCTTACATCCAGAGCATGGAGGATCCTTTGTTGATGAGTAGAAAGAGACAGAAAATAGAAGGAAGAACCAAAGGTTGGGATAGGTGGAACTGGGAGACAACCTTGGGTAGAAAAGAACTATCTACAAAAAGTTTAACCTTATCTGGGTAAAACTGGAGGTAAGGGTAGTCAGACGTTAAGGCTGCAACTTTACCAGGATGTTGAGCTGACGTGATGACCACAAGAAATATCATTTTGAAGGTAAGCAACCTGAAGTCAGTTGATGACAGGGGCTCAAACTGGACCCTTGTAAGTTGTTGAAGGACCAATGTCAGTGACCACTGAGGTGGTGGAAGGTGGATATCTGTGGTACAAGTATGATAGCCCCTTGAGGAAAAGTTTCAGACTTAGCTGCCTGAGACGTTGGTGGTTGATAAGCCACAACTACAGAAAAGTAGACCTTGAGGGATGAGAGAGAAGGACCCTTAGTTTTTAATTGCAATAAAAAAAAAAATAAGGCAGTGGTAAGAGAGGAGTTGGTTGAGGAAAAAGATGACACTTCAGTAAAAGCTTGAATTTTTTCCATTTATACATACAGTGGTGCCTCGCATTACGACATTAATTCGTTCCAGCGAAATCACTGTAGAACGAAAACGTCATAAAGCGATTTTTAAAAGGCCATAGAAACACATGAAGCAGGGAACCGATCATCGCAAAGCGAAATTCCCCCATAGGGAACATCGTTTCGTGATCGCTTTTGCAATTGCAAAAACATCAACGTCAAGCGGTTTCGTCGTTAAACGGAGCACCCGTCTTGCGGAGCACCACTGTATAGGCCTTCCTGGTTGAAGGTTTCTTTGCATGATGAATGACATACATCAGTGAGGCTGAATCCTCCACGCTGCAAGATGAAGAGCAGGGAGATCTGGGTGAAGAATTTGATTTTTGTTCTGTACGAGCAGGTGAGGTAGATGGGGCAGGTGATAAATATCAGATGACAGCTGGTGGAGAATTGGGAACCATGGCTGTCACAGCTACCATGGAGCTATCAAGATAGCATTGGGCCTGTCCTGCTGAAGCCAGACTACAACTTTGTGGAGGAGTAGAAATAGGAGTGGGAACAGTAGAAATAGGTAAATGAGTGACTTGGGCCAATGACCGATGAATGCATGTCTGCGGGAATTCTTGCCTATTCCTGCGTGGAAGCAGTAACACTTGTATTTCCAGTTTACCCAGGAGGCAAAGAGGTTGATGTGAGGGTTCGCATAGAGCCTCTTTCTCTTTTTCAAATAAAGCCGGAGTCATTTCAAAAGTTCAATCAAAACATGGGTTTATTGATTCATTTAACTGTAATGCTTCATTCAACTGTTTATCATGTAACTTATCTCATGTCACCAACGGGCGATGCAAGGGCAACCAAACGTCTGGGTCAAAAGGGTTTAGGGATTTGTTCTCCCACAGTCCATGAAAGAAGGGGTCACTTGCCTTTTCAAGGGGCTCCCTTTCTTCAGTCCCTAATAACGGTAGTGTCTCCTCATCTTGGGTCGCTCCCCATAGGGGTTGCCCTTCTCTCTCAAAGGGTATGCAAGGTCCCGGAGCTACTCCCTCCTCCGGACTTCTTCCACATGCCATGCCCGACACTCCTCTGCTTTCCTCACTACCGCCTCCTTCTCCTCCTTAAGGAGTCGCCTCCACTCGCGGGCTTCAGACTCATCCCAATACGATGGTCTTTGGGGTAGTCCTCGTCGCCTGTGATAGTCTGCCTCCTCGCGGGGTACCTTCACCTTTTCCCATCTGCCCATTCAAGGATCTTCCACCCAGATGTGCTCCCAGCCCCCCAGGATTGGATCTCTCTCCCCTTTTATTTTCCCCATTCCCGACTCTACAACGGACCTCCCCTTCTCTTCCTTTCCTGACAATTCCTGCTCACTTTGTGTAGCAACTGTTATTCTCCACAATCTCTCCTCCAGTTCTCGGGTGTCAATTCCCGGATGGACAGTCTCTCTGGATGGTGGAAGTGGGATGGTTTGAACCTCCTGAGTAAAATTAAGGGCGGACAGCACTCCAACGAAAGCCTCTACACTCTTATCTCGAATCTCACAGTCGATGATAGGTGTGCCCCATCATTTGCACAGGGAGAGAAAAACAGATTGATCTAGCTCCCATTCATGGGCTTGAGATTCTTTTTGACTAAGGTAATCTGCCAGATTGTTGTCTTGACTGGCTATATGTATTGCTGTGAAACAAATGTGATAAGAGAGGCAGTGTTCCCACAGGTCGACAGCGAGGTATAAAAGACATGGGGAGTGAGTGTCCCCTTGTTTGAGAATCTAATATATCATGGTGGCATTGTCTGTGGCTATTTGAGCCGTTTTGCTGACAAGATGGTTTTTGAAAGCTTTGCAAGCTTTTATTACTGCTAAGAGTTCTAGCTCGTTGATATGGGGCAGTTTCTCTCTTTATGGCCACCGGGCATAGATTTGCAGAGATCTGCAATGGGCACCCCAGCCAATAAGGTTGGCATCTGTAGTAACCTGGATTTGTGAGCAGGCTTGTTGAAAGGGCCGTCCCATCATCAGGTTCTGAGCGGAGTGCCACCATGTAAGCTGGGAGATGAGTTCTGCAGTGACTCGCAGCAACATTATGTGGTGAGTCTGTCAATGGGTTGAACAAGGCTAGGAACCATGCCTGGAGTTTTCTTATTTTGAGCTGAACATGCTGAACCACAGCAGTTATGGACACCACAGTGCTTAAAACACGTTGGACAATCAAAGCAGATACGAGCACATGAGAAGTGAGGGAACATAGTAAGGAGATTAGATTGAGGCGTTTGTCTGTTGGAAGAAATGCCCAAGCATGTCTGGAGTCTATAATTGGTCCTATATAATTAACCAGCCTTGGGGATTTTAAGTTGGATTTGTGTAGATTTACTGAAAGGCTGAGAACCTGGAGAAGAGACAAAGTGAAGCGAATGTCTCATTGCGCTTTGTGATGGGAGCGTGCTACGAGCAGCCAATCATCGATGTATGGGGAGATGTGAATTTTGTGAAGTGTGAAGTAAGGTGCCACCGGGGCCATGCATTTGGTGAATACTCGGGGAGCTGTTGTGAGTCTGAATGGAAGTCCTTTGAATTGGTAGGCCTGAGTTTGAGTTGGAAGCAAAGGTAGGGCCCGTGAGAAGGAAGAATGGAGACATGAAAAATAATCTCTTAGGTCTGTGACTGCGAACCAGTCTTTTCTGTGGAGTAAGGGGAAGACAGAGTCAAGGGTAACCATGTGGATCTTGGTGGTAGTGATGTAATGATTTAGCTCCCTGAGGTCGAGGATGGAGTGAAGGCCTCCATCTTTTGAGGGAATGTTGAAATAGCGAGAGAAATAATCTATGACTGTGTGTCATAGTGTTTCCATAAAAAGACTGCCCCCGGGTCATGTACTCGATAAAGGTTGTCTATGCGTTTTGACACCGAATGAGATGATGCTGTGTTTGGTCCAAGAATGTCTAGCTGTCCTGAGGAGAGAAGGGAGCACGGAGATATGAACTGGTGTGAGAGTATCTTTAGAGACAGGATCATAAAGATGATCTGTTGCTCCAGTAGTGGGTCTATGGATTTGTAGGTCGAGGGATTTGGCCATACGAATCATTAGTTGAGCATAGGTTTGAAAATCTTCTGCTGGTGACAGAGGGTCTGTGTCTGCCAGGCCAGAAACCAGCAATGTTAAAAATCCTGATGGTGTTTGAGACCTGGAACCATGATCAGATGGGTCTGCATCATGCCTCGAGTCAATCGACTGTCAATCAATATCGGCTGAGCGGCTGGTCCTCAAAATATGGGTGTCGACACTAAGTTTTTTATGTTGAAGGGGCGCCGGTGGACAGTGGTCAATATCGAGGGTTGTAGATCAGTATGGACATCAAAGGTGCATCCATGGATCTCTTTCCACGTGAGAAGCCAAGTGGACACTCATATAGGCTTGGTGCTTTCCCAAACTCCGGTGGTTGTGGAGTTGGGGAAATGGTTGTGGAAGGCTTTGATTTTGAAGACAGCTTCGGAGGTGATGGTTCTGTGGAAGGCTTTGATTTTGAAGACTTAGCTTCGGAGGTGATGGTTCTGGTGCCGAGGAAGCATCCATGGACGGTTTTCTTGAGGCTGTTTTTGATGTCGAGGGTTTTGATATTGAATGTTTGGCTTTGTGCACTTGCATGACCGATATTGAGGGCAGAGTAGGTTGTTGATGATCAGAATGAAATGGAGTAGCTAACGGGCACTGTTTTGTCACTTCAGAAACAGCTTCATCCATAGCTTTAGAGACTGCTCCCAGAGCCAAAGTTTGAGTCTAGAGAGGCGACTGCGGAGAACTCCACGTTTAAACCTTTTGCAGTGAGGGGAAGAGGAAGTTTGATGGCCTCATGGAGGCAAAAAAAGGCATTTAGCATGGCCATCAGAGAGCGGGATCTCGTTACTGCAGGCTGTGCAGCATTTAAATGGGCCTGAAAAGGCCATGAACCAAGAACCAGTTTAGAAAAGAAAACAACGGAAAGGTGTGTGTGGGGGGAACACTTTAGCCTTAAGGCCAGGACGTATATTTTGAAAATAATAAGGATAATAATAATAAATAAAGTCCAATAACTTTCCTTCTTTTGTTTTCAGATTTCCCACAGAAGCAACGATCGAGGCTCTCAACGTGGAAGCTGAAAGAAACTGAAGGGAGAGCCTTGGCGCCAAGGTACATATATTGGGGGGAAGGGTCTATGCTAATGTATTTTCCTTTGCTATTGCAGAAGCTCTAGAATTTTCCAGCGAGGCTCCACACATGTGCAGATTACCCATAGTGTGATTCACAGACGCCACAAAGAAGAACCACTATTGTTCTAAATAAATGAAGCTATTGGTACAACACTGATACCAAAGTAATCACTGTAGTATTGACCATTAGACCAGTGGTTTTTAATCTTTTTGAAAAAACGCCCCCTTGAGCCATTAAGGAAGTCATCATTGCCCTCCTTTCTGGGGCAGCACTGGATCTGCTGCCAGCACCACGGCTGCAGCTGCCTTCTCAGGTTTGGCTCTCTCCATTGCCCCCATATCACCCCCCTTCTGTTCCCTAGCCCCCGCATCACCCCTTTTTGTTTCATCTCTCCCCTGAAAAATGAAATCGCCCCCTGGGGGGGTGATATCACCCAGGTTAAGAACCACTGCGTTAGATCACCATCACACGATACCACCACCCTGGTCCAACATTATCCTTTTTAAAAACTCAACTCTTTCACCTAATGATTCAAAAGATTGACGAGAGATCAAAATGCAACACCTGTTTACAAACATTTAGCGCATACAACAAATTACATGTGTGCAACAACTTACTGTATTCATGTCGTGTTCCCCTCACTTGGCTGCCATTTGGCCTGAAAGAGATCTCATGAAAAATATGCTCCGCTCGAAAAGTTTCCTTAATCCATGGATCAGATGAATTTATGATGCCCGTGTACTTCTTCCTGCTACTCTCTATAGGGAAAATAGGGGTGGTATCTGCGTCATAGACCATTAGTGCCGCTAAAACAGTGCCCTTTAAAAGAGAACAGGAGAAGATTTGCTTATACTAACAATGTCCCTTTGCCAGCTGTTACTCCAGGATGTGAAATCTGACCAAAGATATTTTATTGTTCACCAGATTGCAAGATCTTTGCATTAGATTACAATGTTCACATTAAACAGGACCATCTGAAACTTCTGTGAGATAGTAGTTTAGCATCTAGATTTTTCAGGCTAGGCATAAAAGTGAATGAGTAACTGCCTTAACCAAATATTCCCCCAAGCTTGTCATCCATATTGTTATAAGTCAACATATATAATAAACTGCCTAAAACTGAAACTAGCATTCTCTCATCCCTACTCATTTTCATTAAGGTAATCTGCCTCATGACAAAGAAATTACCAAAGACGTTTTAATGCCTGAGGCAAAAAAAAACCAATGCTTCCCTGATCATGACTGGTAAAAATATACATGAAACAGCTCAGTCTTCACTAAGATTTCTTTTTCTTTTGGAATTGCTCTAAACTGGCATATTCTAGCATTCATCCAAGAATACTGCCACCTTCTCTTGATTCCACTTTACACATTTTTGGCTCCAGTGTTGGGTTTGGTGTTTTTGTTGTTTTGGCCACAGAATTACCTGAATTTGAAAACAGAATATTATAATTTTGGTTTAGTCAGTGATTTTATGAACAGAGATGGCATCAAAGTAATTTACAACCTCTTCTTTGCATAGCTATGGCGTTCTGTCTGAATAGATTCTTTTCCTTCTTTCTTTAAAGCAGGGGTGAGTGATTACTGTCATTTCACTGTCACAATTCAGATGCATAGTGGCAAATGTGTGTAGAGGGAATGCATGTAGCACACCCTGATTTAAAAGACTGAAATCAAAGAACTTGAATACAACTCACCAAAACGGCTGCTATGCAACTTCTCATTTTATGTATGTATCCTGCTACAGCCTTTAGCCCTTGCTAGACCTGCTTTCTCACTCTAGTGCTTTGTACAGGATTAACCCTCCTACTGGTCAGTGGAGACATTATTATAATATAACATCCTTAATGTCTAATGACCCTTAGATAGCAACACTACATAACCACAAGTAGCTATGAATGAGAAAAGTGAGTAAAGAGAATTATGGCCTGTAGGTGGTAGCAGACATCCAAAGATGTTACAGTTTCTCTTACATATGAAAGAACAACCAGGGAAAGCTCACTGGAAAAGTCCGTAGCATCTATCTTTTAGAATCCTTTAAAAAGAAATTGTTTGTTATAATAAGCCTGCTGAAATGTTTACTATAGATAATACAGAATATGATATAATATAACATTCTAAAGACGAACAGGTGAGAATTTTGTTTGTTTCAGTTTTGAAAGACCTCCTCAAAGTTCACACATTTTGAGTATTCCAAAGAAAGAGCTGTGTTAGTCAGTTGCAGCATGAAAGCAGAATAAAAGGGGGAAAGGAAAAGAAATGAGAGAAAGATACTGGAAAACACTGCAACACTTTAAAAACTAACAGATTTATCTCACTGTGAGCTTGTGTGGATCCAAAACCACTTTTTCAGACAAGATCCAGTTTTCTTTCTACCTGATACCAAAAATACACAAATTGGGTAATCACAGATAGGCCACTGTACCGTGCAGAAACACCATTATCTCTGAGGAGTCTGGGTATCTGGATCCTCTCCTCAACCCATTATGCACCTCAAAAAACCCCAATTACATAAAGAACTGACTTCCTAAGAGAACTACAGATCATTCAGAATCTTCCAGAAATCACCCTAGATTTATAGGCATTTTAGACCAATATTTCAATGTTCATTGTTACTGCAGAAGCTCTAGAATCTTCCGATGAGGCTCCACGCAGATGCAAATCACCCAGGGTGTGATTCACAGAGGCCACGAAGAACTGTGTACTACTACATAACTGTTTCACCTTTCGACAATAAACGGTATCTCCAGGTCAGTGACATAACTATTGGCACACAAATGGATGCATAGGATGCAAATATATTTATTGTTGACTTGGAACAGTATCTCCCTGTACCCAGAAACCTCTCCTCAACCTGAGATTCATCTATAACACTATCATCATCTGGACTCATGATAAGGAAATGCTGGATAAATTCCACTTAGGGCTTCAGTTACTTCCATCAACCAATGCCTGGACCAGTCCACACAACATGTTCACTTTTTGATATAATGGTACAACTGTATAAAGGACACATCATCACTACATTATATTGGAAACTCACTCACTTCAACAAATATCTATGTGCCTTTAGCCTCCACTTAGAACATACAATCAAGTCCACTGCCTCCAGCCAAATTCTCTAACATAGACTTGCTCAGAACCTCAGAACAGAAACTCAAAACACATGGAGTTAGAGCAGGTGTTTCTTATAGACTCACAAAACATTACAGCTGGAAAGGACTTGCAAAAGTTATTGGGTACAATTCCCTGTCAAAGCAGGAAATCCACAGCTAAAGTATCCAGACAGGTGGCCATCTAGTTTAAGTTTAAAAAAATATCCACCACCATCCAAGGTAGTCCAGTCCATTGTCAAACAGCTGTTACTGTCAAGACATTCTTCCTAATTAATGTTTAGGTGAAATCTCCTTTCTTGTAATTTGAATTCATTACTCTGGGTCCTGCCCACTGAAGCTACAGGAAAAAAGAAAGCTGCCTCCAATTTTCATATGGTGAAAAACCAAATTGTTGGAGCCACAATGGTACCCAGGAACAACTTCTTACAAGAGAGACTCAATAAAGAGAGTGAAAAACACCCTCAGTAGTCATTAACAGCTCCCATTTGAGGCTACTGGAACATATCATCCATGACCAGTAGCCCATTCTGGACAACAGTACTTCTTTCTCTCAGATACCGGGGGCCCTGCCCATATTCGCCTACAGACAAACCCCAACAAGAATAATTCCTGATAAACAACAGTCAACACAGTTTAGAGAAAGCGGTTCTAGATCAGTGTCTAGCATCAGTAAAGGACTGCATGAATAAACTGAAGCTTAATCCAGACAAGACAGAGGTGCTCCTGGTTAGTTGAAATGCAGATCAAGGAATAGGGATGGAATCTGTACTGGATGGGATTACACTCCCATTAAAAAAGAAATGTGCATAGCTTGTGGGTGCTCCTGGATTCATCCTTGAACCTCATCCTTGAACCTTCACCATGATACATGCCCTAGTTACTTCCCGGCTGTATTACTGTAATGCACTCTATATGGGGCTGTCTTTGGAATGTGTCAGCAGGTCCAAAATGCAGCAGCCAGATTGCTGACTGGGGCTGGTTACAGGGATCACAGAAACCCTCTATTACAGCAGCTCCAATGGCTGCTGATCAGTAACCAGGACCAATTTAAAGTGCTGGTTTTAATCTATAAAACCCTAAAAGGACTGGGTCCAAGTTATCTCAAAGACCATATTTCCCATTATGAGCCGGCTTGGGTGTTAGATAATCAGGAGAGGGCTTTCTCTGAGTCCCACCACCTCCACAGGTGCATTTAATGGGGACCCGGAAGAGAGCCTTTGTGGTGTCCGCCCAGGTTATGAATATTAATGTGCTATCTGCATGGACCAATGGCATTTAATGGGGACCCGGAAGAGAGCCTTTGTGGTGTCCGCCCAGGTTATGAATATTAATGTGCTATTTGCATGGACCAATGGGAGTGCTGGAGAGGCGGAGTCAAGAAATATAAGAGTCTCTGCAGGGGGAGGAGAGAGTTAGATTGGAAATTAGAGAGTTGGAGTTTAGAGTTGAGAGAGTTTGGGTAGAGAATAGAAAGGAAGGTTGTTTTAGTTGAGAGTTAACAACACTGATTGAACTTTCATTTCTTGTGATAATAAACCATTTCTACTTGGTTTTTAAATGACACATTGACTGGACCTCTGTCTTTAATATGGAATAACATCAATGTAATCAACTGGTGGCAGCTGAATGTCACGTAGCTTGTGTCTTTGTTTGGTAAAATGACCAAGGGGCAGGCGAGAATGTGACAGCCTTCTTTGTTGTTGCTCCCAAACTTTGGAACTCCCTTCCAAAGGAGGCCAGGCTGGCCCCATATTTGCTGTGCTTCTGCAAGAAGGCAAAGACCTTTCTCTTAAGGCAAGCCTTCCCTCAGTAACCAGCTGCCTGTGTGTGATTTTTAGATAGACTTTTATGTATTACTGCTTTGACTGGATTGCTTAGTACTATTTGTGTTTTCCTCTCAGAGTGACATTTTCTAAATTTTTGTATACTTATTGATCTTTGCCATAGTATTGTCTGTTAACTGATATAAAATGTCTTCTTACTCATTGTTTATAATTTTTAAATTTCACTTTTTAATGATGTTAACCACCATTTTATATTCATTATTTTCAAATTTAAATATTTTCTTTCATTGGTGTAAGCCACCTTGGGCCCTTTTCAAGGAGAAAGTCAGGGTAAAAATATTTTAAATAAATAAATATTAGAGATTTAGACAGAACAAGATCCTGTTACAATAGAATGACAGTTTTATTCCTGTCTCAATAGACATTCCTCATGTGTCCTTATCTATGTCCTCAGCTAACCATGACTCCTGACATCATAAGGATATGTATAAATACAAAGGACATGTATCTGCACACCTTGTACATGAAGGTGACTTTTGATTCATTAAAGTTCACATTGAAATAACTCTTAACTTTTAAAGTACCACAATATTTTGCTTTTCTGTTCTTTTTTCTTTTAAATGGAAAGAACAACAAAAAATCAAAAACAGAGAACAGAAGAAAGCAAAACTGATAGATTCATCTACTAGATAAAGGGCTTTGAGTCTTTTGTTCTTAGAAGTCTAGCTTTGTGCATTCATGCATACATCTGTGGTGCATTACAGTTGCCAACATTCTCTTTTTAGTAGGTTATAGCTTTTAACACCTACAGGGAAGGCAGGTTCAGCTGATTAATTAATTACTGCATTTGGCTAGTTTTGTAAGAAATTCCCAAAGTTTACTAACCTTTTTAGTAAATTGGACAGAGAGTACTTTCTGTGTTAAAAACCATCTGAAAGTGGGACAAAGCAAAACTGACAAATTTGTACTTTTCTAGCTCTAGTATAGCTGCTCTTTGTTGAGGGTTCTTGTTTATCAGCACATTCTGCCAAGTACAGAATGTTTTCAAAATATCTGTGTGTTTCCAAAAGCATTAGCCATTGTTAATTCTGCAATTCTGTACTGATAAATATCGAGGGCATGCTGTAGTACTTTCATGCTGAAGATGGTGACAGATGTTTCACAGCAATGAATGGTGAGAGTTGGCGTCATCTAATAGATAAAAGGCTAAAAATACACATTGGTATTCAGTGTAAAAATGCTTTAAATAAATAAAATGAACCCAGAAAATCTACTACTAGAGAATGTGGTCTCTACTACTAGAGAATGTGGTCCTCAGCATGCAATAGATCCTGGAACTTCACAGGGTCTGTGGTGAGTTTAAAGATAATTTTCTTTTGCTTTCTAATCTTCCATTATTTTTGCATATCTTGAGAGTCTTCTGAATACGTAGATACCACTGCCCTTAGGCAGCCCCCTTTTGCTTCCAAACTGATATGCAACCCGAATTTACTTCTATAGAATAGGAATGATGAATGTCAGATTTCACTTAATATTTTAGCTATTTTCAACTGTTAACTTGCCCATTTCTCTTCCACATGGTTAGAGGAGAACAGCAAACCCTCCTTTTTCCATTATGTACCTTCTTTGAGTGCACAGCGACACATATGCAGAAGAGAGGTTTCTGCTTGCACACAGGGTCTCCAACATGAACTAGAGCCCTGATTTGCCAAAATCGGAATATGAAAGGATACAAAAGTGTGATTCAATATTCCATGGTTCTCTCTAGCATACATAGAGAGGAGTACCTAGTCCCTGTTATCAATGTTTTTCCCATGTGGAGAATAAAGTGTCCAAAAAAGAGAAGTTCCTGTTTGGATGCAGGCTTTACATGCAAGGAAGAAAATGGGCAGATCGGGGTTCTCACTTGGTGTCCCATGGTATCAAAAAGTGAACCTGTACCCTTCAGACAGATCATTCTCTACATGGACAAACCAATGATAACAGAAACAATGTTCTCCCTTCCACACAGGCTGGAGAGAACTAACTAATGACTGACTAGAGCTTTTGTATCCATTTACTATGTTCACAGATCACTTTTCAAAGTGGTTTCATACACACTCTTGCTGAAATGTTTTTCCGAAATCTGTTACCTGTGTTATGTCCTACTACAGTCATCTCATGTTGTTAATGAACTCTGGGGTTACATCTCTATATTCCACTGCCTCTGCTGAGAGACCAGATACATTTGGCTCTCCCAAATTGTAACCTGATTAATAGCCATTGCATCAGGCTCTGTAGAAGGGGATTCCCAGAAGAGTGGGGAGCATTGTGAGTACACTTGGGCATCCTCTGGGCAATGGAGTGCAGACGGCCAATCTTTCACTTCCAGAAGCGTTGCACTGTAAACCTTCTGATGAGCAAAATGCTCAGACTACTTGAGCTGTTCCCCTCCAGCCCTTCACTCTCTCCTTTCCTTCTATCTTGTGTTTAGATTACAAAGCAAAGGGCTGGACTGCGATGCCACCTGCCTTTGTAAGTAATGTGGGAACCTTTTTGGCAATGGACAGGGTTAAAATACCACAAGGAAAAGAGGAAGAGAGGGAGGGAGGGAGAGACAGAGAGAACTTTAAATTATGATGTAGCTCTCAGTGCAAAAACTGAAGTAAGAGGTTCAAAGTCAGTAAGGTATCCATACTGAACACAATTTGGTACCACTAAAAAGGCACAGTAGGTCGTTACAGTCTTGTGCAATATTACCTCTTTCCTGCTAAACTCCACCACAGCATCCGTTGTGCTAGTGCCATTGGGCAGAAAGGGTGGCATGTCATCTTCATCAAAGACATTTACAAGTAAGGGCACCTCTGTGGAAGTTTCCTTGGAACCTTCTCTTACAGTACACTTAGCGATCAACTCATACTTCTCCCGTTCTTCCCGATCCAACGTCTGTGCCACTCTAATACTTGTGATATCCTCATTGTAATGAAATGGCAGTCCTTCATCTGGAACACAGGGGGGAAGAGGCAGTTGAGAGAGTTTTGTAGTGATGGGATTATTTGGACTCCTAAATTCCTCACAAAATTGGGATCAAAGTATCTTAAGAGTCACACCCTTCCACATATATCTGCCCTACTGCTCTCAGTCTTGGATGCCTTATTTTATACTGAATTAATTAACTTAGTTCATAGTTACATTTTTTAGTTAATTACTTTTTCACAGTAGTTTAAGTCTCCATGTAGTCGAGTAGAGACTGCACAGACTGTACCATCTGGTTTTTTCCCAGGCATTTCTTGTAATCTCTCACAAAACCACAGAGACATTTCCCAAGCAACTGCAAAGAACACATGAACCCCCTGAATGGTTTCAAAGTTGAACAGTGGAATGTTCACTCTTCCCCAAGGCTCGGGCTGAAGGTGTTGGTGCTGAAGGACAGCAGAGAGCAGGATATGAGTAGCAAAACACCACAGTGTTGCAAGAAAAAAAATGCTTCTGTTATGTCACCCTAGTTCTTGACATGAGATTTACCCATAACCATTAAAACAAAGAAATTAATAGAAGGATTAATTGCCTTTGTTGTCTTATTTGTTTAAAATGTTTTTGTCCTGCTTCTCCAGTATTCAAGTAGAATTCAAAGTATAACTTAAAAACAGCTTTAGAATCCTATTGAGGAAGAAAGCATCGTCCACTCCTCCATCTACCTACCAGTCTGACTTCTCAAATGATGGGAAATTTCTAGATTGTCTTCTAACTTTCAACAAAAACTTTTCTACTATGTTTCTTTCCATGTTTACATAATGCTTTTAAGAAATGATGCATTCTTAAAGAAACAACCATGGCCTAGAAATCTACTACTAGTTTTCTGGGTAAATTTAAACAATTTGATGGACTATAGCACACAGATGAAAATTTGGTATTGATTTTACTCTACCGAGTTTTGTAATCCGGGTTCCCAGATGATTTTACCAAGTATCCTCCAGATGTTCCCTGAAAGAACTTTCTACCTATCCAAGTCCCCATCAAATACAAACTTTTTTCAGCTTCTGGTATTTTGTCAGAGGTTGGGGAGGGTGCAATCATGTTCTAAAACTGAGTAGCTACTGAAATAAAGTTTTGCAATCATAAAGCCACTGTATCTGCCAAATGGATTATATAGGTGCTTTACCTGCTATAATCGTGTAAGAAATGCTTGCATTCTGGCACTGCTGTTGTAGAGCAAATCGCTGGAGCTGATGAAATGTCCCAGGTGGTTTGTTCTCCTTGATGTGAAAAGAGAGGTCTGTGTCGGCAAAACACAGCTGGCTTGGCATCAGGGAGCCACAAGCTGGCATGGTGGCATTGACAACAGAAAGTTTCACCAGTGCCTTTGTGTACGATTCTCGACATTCTCTTCCTTGGAAAGGCCGGGAGGTAAGGTAAACCTGAAGTATAAGCTTTGGCATTGACATCCAATTCCCCGCAACTATTGGCAGAAAACACAGAAAACTCAGTATTTTGTGCAGATATCTTTTATTTTACAAAATGTTTGCATATCTTTTTGAAGAAGAAAAATGCTTCCCCGAATCTTTTGCAAAAAGTCAGAAAATGCAAAGAAGTTCATGACAATTCTCCTAGTTTCACTCAGGATGAGACAGCAGTTGAAAATTGTAATTCTCTCCAAAGAGAATGAAAGAAATGAAGTTTTGCACTCCATTCTACACTGTATTCCATGCACTAATAAAAAGCTATATTGAGCTGACATCTCTCTACAACTGGCAAAATTGTGCTAAATAAAGGGCAACATCATATATACAATTTCTATCAATGTAATGAGGGCTTCATCGGAATTACTTACACAGTGTATCAAAGTCTTCTCTATCCAGACTCTTATTGAGGAAAAGAAGTCCTGTTTTCTCACTGATTTGAAACCAGAGATTGTCTTTGGCTCCAGCTCGTGGAATGTGGAGCTGCGGGCACAGCCAAAAGTAGACCTCTTCATCCTCTGAATCTTTCAAAGCGTGAATCTGCAACAGAGAAGTTCCCCCTGGTTGCTCAAGATAGACATTCTCATGATATTCTCTCCTAGGAAAGTAGAGGCCAAAGACAACTGGAAAAGAAAGTGGGGGGGGGGGAGAGAAAAAAAAACATCAAGAGAAGTGGTTGCAAGCTGTGCAATGTCTGGGCAGAAATATATATATATTTAAAAGGCCATAAGCTTCAGTTCTATTGTGAAAAGAGAATAGTTTTGTAATGGCTCACTCTTTTGCTGATCAAACTGAAACAGGTCTGTATATATAGCTTAATAACTTAGACAGTCCCATCAGATACAGATCTGACTGCGTTTCAAGATATTATAGAATAATTGAGTTGGAAGAGGCCTACAAGGCCATCAAGTCCATTTTTTTCTTGAATGCCTCCAGTGCTAGAGCACTCACCACCTCTTGAAATAATTGGTTCCATTGTCGTACTGCTCTAACAGTTAGCATGTTTTCCCTGGTAGTCAATTGAAATCTGATTTCTTGTAGCTTAAGCCCATTATTATGTGTCTTGCACTCTGGTATGGGCACTCTGGCATGGTCAAGAACAGATCCTGTCTTTCCTCTGTATGACTACCTTTCAATTATTTGAAAAGTGCTATCAGATCTCCCCTCAGACTTCTTTGCTTAAAATTAAACATGTCCAGTTGTTTTAGTCTTTTCTCATAGGGCTTGGTTTCCGATTCCTTGATCATCCTTTGTTGCCCTCCTCTGAACTTGCTCCAGTTTGTCAGCATCCTTCTTAAAGTGTGGTGTTCAGAACTGGCCACTATACTTTAGGATGAGGATTAATCACTGCTGAATAGAGGGGAACTAGTACCTCAAAGGATTTGGAGACTATACTTCTGTTAATGCATTCTAAAATCACATTTGCCCCTTTTGCAGCCACATCACACTGTTGGCTCATATTGAGCTTTTGATCAACAACAACACCAAGACTCTTCTCACCTGTAATATTAGTGAGCAAAGTATCCCCCCTCTTATAAGTGTACATTTGGGGTTCCCCCCCAGGTGGAAAATCCTGTTAAACTCCATTCTTTTGTTGAGTGCCCAATGCTTAAAGCCTATTAAGATCTTTTTGAATGTTGTTTCTGTCTTCCAAGGTATTAGCAATTCCACCCAATGTTGTGCTGTCTGCAAATTTAATAACTATTCCCTGCACTCCCTCATCCAAGTCATTAATAAAAATGTTGAAGAGCACAGGGCCCACAGCTGAGCCTTGCGGTACCCTATTTGTTACCTTCCCTTCTCATTCTTATTTTACTTCCAATCTGAACCTTAACTACATTAATAAAACTTCCTCTTCACAGTCTCTAGCTGTTTTTACAGATGTATTTTTTTAATACATGAAAGTAAACTTTTATCAAAACTAAACTGTGCAGTTAATACTTGGCAATCAGAACAGCATAGAATATTATTACAGTTCATTATATGAATTTTATAAAAATCACATTTTTTTTCCACATTTGAAGAGAACAAATTGGAAGAGGCTAAAAAAAAAGGTTTAGAGGAACGAAAGCCGACACTTTTGATCCAAGCCCTGGGTTCTGAATTGCTTGGTTCATTAAAGTCTGACCTTGAATATCTATCTGTCCCATCAAGTTAGTGCTAAATTAGTTTTGCTGCCTCTTTTTCCAAAAGGCTCCATATGTTTTAACATACACATGGCAAGAGGATACAACAAGGTCCACTCCATACCAGACAATAAACCTTCCTGAGAAATACAGCACATACTGGGGCAACTGCACAATCATCACTTTTTGCCAGCTGCATAGCAAACACCCACTCACATGACAAAGATCTTAGTCTACATATGCAACTGTTGGTTTGTGCTATATATATGATCGTAACAAGATTCTGGCCAATGAATTTAGCTGGTGTAGATAGAGAGGAGTTCTTTTTTCCTTTAGTTTGTGACCAATTTTCTAAAAAACCACAATCAATTCCCACATATTCCAGACAGAACAAGGCTATAAAAATTCACTATAGGAGAGGATGAAGCTGGCATGTTTCTTATCCCTATCCATTAATGCTCTATTTTTTTAAAGTTTCTTTCCTTTTTTGAAACACAAAAAGTTTAAACTCTGCATGTTGCAAATCAAAAAGATGCCAAAAAGAAAAGAAAAAAGCAAAAGCAAAAACCAAAGTTCAGTTATACACGAGAACCTATCCATTAATGCTCTATTTTTTTAAAGTTTCTTTCCTTTTTTGAAACACAAAAAGTTTAAACTCTGCATGTTGCAAATCAAAAGGATGCCAAAAAGAAAAAAAGCAAAAGCGAAAACCAAAGTTCAGTTATACACAAGAGAGCAACAACAAAGCAACTGAAAAATCAAATTTGTTTTGTGAACAGACAGGGAAAAGTATCCATTTGTTTCATATGTAGCAACAACAAAGCAACTGAAAAATCAAATATGTTTTGTGAACAGACAGGGGGAAAAGTCTATTTTTTGCCTTTTAGTATCCATTTGTTTCATATACCACTATAGCCAATATTTACAAACTCACTCCACTGATACAGTAATGCATTCGTATTCTTAATTTTACAATCAGAGTTGGATTTTAAAACAGTATTATCCTAAAATATTGTTAAATAAGATATTAGCAATGCACTCCTCTGCAGACTTGGAAAAGACTGTATTTCTTTGTAAACTGTTTTATTTCTGCTTTATTTTAAACAGATTTCTCTAAATGCCTTTGGTGATTCTCAGCCACAATATTTGATTCTCCTAATTATTCCTAAGGAAGCACCATTGGCTATACTGGCACACTGTTAATTTGAGCCCCAAGTCTTATTTAAAATAACAATTTAATAAAACAGAACATTAGACTGTTTCTGCTTTTTAATGATAACATGTTACAAATGGAGAGACCTGGGGTTGGCTAACACATCTCAGGCGTTTATACAGTGGGGTCTTGACTTGAGAACTTAATCCGTATTGGAAGGCGGTTCTCAAGTCAAAAAGTCTGTAAGTCAAGTCTCCATTGACCTACAGTGCATTGAAAACCGATTAATCCCGTAACAGGCCGTTTTTGTTCCATTTTGGTTTTTTTCTGGTCTGTAAGTCAAATCTCAGTCTGCAAGTCAAACCTAAATTTTGCGGCCAGAGAAGTCTGTAACTCAAAAAGTCTGTAAGTCAAGCCGTCTGTAAGTCGAGGGTCCACTGTAGTCAAACATATGCCCTCTGGAAGCATTCATCCAGCCCACATGCCCCTTTCCATTTGGGGCTTTCCCCAAATTTCCAAAGATCATCTTGGAAGCACTTCATTTCCAATGGCTGTAGAATGACCCTACTCTGTACTAAATCATGACTTAGTTCTCAAAAGTACCTACCTTATATTCTGACATAGATTTCCAAGTCTTACACAAGAATGATCCACATAAAAGGTCAAAATGTTTTTCTGACCATTCACTGTTTAATAAAAGCAGTAAAAAATTGATATGAAAAATGGGAACAAACCTTGATTTGAAGGTTCGTGCCAGTTGGTATACACGGCACTACAGATGCCACACATTCCTTTCCTCCCTGGGCAACTACCCACTCACCTGTTGGCGTGTGCTCGTTTCCTCCTCCTCTTTGGCTATTCGACCACTCCCCAGCAGCAGCATGGATTTGCTTGTCCTGTCTCCTTCTCTGAGTAGGTGATCAGCCAAGGAGGTGGGGCAGGGAAGCCTGTGCTCCTGCCAGAGACTGATCAAACAGCTGAAGAGGAGGAGGAAAGGAGCGTGCTCCAGCTCACAAATGGGCAATTCAGCCGGGGAGGCGGGGAAAGGGAACATGTGGCACCAGTCACATCAGGAATTATGGTAGCGTAAGCTAATTTGAACCAATAAACCTGCAATCCACCTGGAAACCAGGATGGAAGAGTCTTCCCAAACTCATCACCAATGTAATATTTTCTATAACAGCCATTCTCAATCTTGTTTTGGTCGTGGCCATTAACACTATATGAAGGAAATATAGGCTGAATCAGGATTGCATAACTCACATAATGAACCTTATAAGGTGGTGTGTGAAGAATGGCTTCCAGTCTGTGGCCCCCTTAAAATGTGCCAAAGGCCCTCCCCAGGGGGCCATATGCCCCCTGTTGAGAATGGCTGATCTACAGCACCTTCTAAGGGTCAGGATGGGCTCCTCTTTCAAAATGGGTGTTTTTCATGGTTTCACGGAAGAGACCATGAGCAGCACCACACTGTTTTTGCAGCAACGACAGAGGCTACTGAACTGATTCAGGGGTAAGGAGGATTCAGAATTTCATTTTCCAAAATCCACAGATTGCTTCATGTTTGAAATAAGGGGGGAAAAAACCTTCAGAGAAAAATATTCAAACCAAAGAGACACTAAAGCTGACAAGTAAATTCATGCAGAATCAGGGCTTTCAATGTTTTAACTCTTGAAAATGAGTTTGAATCCCTTTGTATTCTACCATCTCTATGACGATTTCCACCACTTTTTTTGAAATCATCATCATTTTATTAGAACTGAAGAGCTGGAATGGACCCTATGGATCATCAAGTCCAGTCTGTGTCAAGGAGGTACAGTGGGGAACTGAACTCTCAATGTGTGGCTCCGCAGACAGAGACTTAAACCACTGAGCTATTTTGACAATCTCCTCATCTTTAATACATATGGCACACAGAAACAACATAGTCCTCTCCACACTACAAGTAACCATATTTGTTAGCTTTAGACAGTGCAAATGGATGGAAATTTCATCCCGGATCATAATTTAAGAATCTGCCAAATTTTTCTAATCAGATTGTTGGGACAGAAAGAAGTTGAGGTTTAAAAAACATCAAATCCAGGAGAAAATGAAATTGACAGATTTTTTTTTCAGTCCCTATGGTGGTTTATTTGTTTGTTTGTTTTTACTTATACTAACCCATTACACCATGATAGTTACAGTGGATTTCTATCTGATTCTTTTAAAACTTTTTCCCAACCACTCTCAGACTCCCTTACGCCCAGGGATCTATGGTATTACACTGCTGCCTCACGGCATTTGCTTTGCTTTTCTAACACAAAATAAATTCCCATGCCTTTCCATGAATATATAACTAGCTCTAGGG